AAAACAAAACCACTCCACCCGAAAAAAAACCCTTTTGCCTTGATTCTGTGGAGGAAGATGGAAGAGCTTGTATTACCGTAATAAAACTGTCGTGTTCAATGCTTGATTATTTATTTAAGTTATTAAGCAGATTACTCTGCCTTCTTATGGATATCACAAGCGGTACAAAATACATGACCCAACTAATTGTGCCAAAATAAAAGATATAATGATAACACAAGACTAATGCAAAGAATAATACAAAGTAGAACAAATTCTAAATCAAAATCACCAAATATGCTTATCCTGTACCCTTTTAGCAGAGATTTGGATATTTGAAAATCAACTGCCAATAACTCCTCAGTAAAATAATTTTGCACTACTTGTGTAAAGCTAATGAAGACACCTTACTTCTTCCAGTTGACTTTCAATACATCAAGGAAACATTTACCAGGTGGTATATATTTCAAGCTAATATTTTACATTAATATGCTATTAGAAGAGGTGTTTCTTTCCCTTTAAATTTTTTTTTTACATTCCAGAATCTCATTCACATTGACAAGAATCTCACTTCCCAAGTATTCCCATTACAATGAAATCATTTTCTATTTAATACTAAATATGGAGATATTACTTTGTATAAACCCAAAAGCCAATTATTCTGATTCTAGATCAGGGGTAGGCAACCGTGGCTCTTTTATGACTCGTGGACTTCAACTCCCAGAATTCCTGAGCCAGCCATGCTGAGGGGAAAGGGAGAGGTTTCCAAGCTGAGCCATGCTGGCTCAGGAATTCTGGGAGTTGAAGTCCACGAGTCATAAAAGAGCCAAGTTTGAAGACCCCTGGTTTAAATATTTAAATATTTTTCCTCACAGTCACATGATCAAAATTCAGGCATTTGGACAGGGGTAGGCAACCTTGGCTCTTTTATGACTCGTGGACTTCAACTCCCAGAATTCCTGAGCCAGCCATGCTGAGGGGAAAGGGAGAGGTTTCCAAGCTGAGCCATGCTGGCTCAGGAATTCTGGGAGTTGAAGTCCACGAGCCATAAAAGAGCCACGGTTGCCTACCCCTGTTCTAGATGGTAATAGTGAGGCCATATTTCCCATGCATGTACTTTTTTCTTTTTTTCTTTTTAGAGAATCACCTGAAAGTCTGTTGAGAGACAAGGTGCACTGGCACTTCCCTCCTAGCTTTCATTAATCTTGCAAAGTAAAATGCACTAGAAAATCTCTGGCTCAGGATCACAGGTATTTTTTTTCTCCTGCAGCTTCAGTGAAAGTAACCAGTTTGGTAACCTTAGTTAAGGAAGGGAAATTGCTTTTTTCCCCTGCCCTCAAGCTGTTCACTTCTGCATAAGTAAGCAGGAAGTACAGGATCAAGCAATCGTTCTTCTAAAAGGGGGTGGTGATGAACTAAATTTCCCAGAAGCATAAAAGTTCAGCAGTACTTGAAAAGTAACAGGTTTCCTATTTTAACAGACTGGACAGATTTGAGGGGGAAAAAATCCAAAGAAAAAAAAAGGTATAAATTAAGGGGAGATGGAAGATTACAATCTTTGCCTTAAAAAGTCCTATTTATGAATGGAGAATTCATAAAAAGAGCTAAAAGAAAATAGTACGGATATTAAAGTAACTGGGTTATGCCCAATGGTATCTTGCTAATGAAATTCTTATTCTGTTCTTGAACAGGTTTGGTAAGTAGGTAGGGGGTCATACACTATATTGTATGATATAACCCACTTTATTTTGTTCATAGAGAAAAGGCTATCAAAAACTGCAGAGCAATAGCAATAGCACTTAGACCAGTGTTTCTCAACCTTGACAATTTTAAGGCATGTGGACTTCAACTCCCAGAATTCCACAGCCAGCAATGCTGGCTGTGGAATTATGGGAATTGAAGTCCACATGCCTTAAAATTGTCAAGGTTGAGAAACACTGACTTAGACTTATACTGTATACCACTTCATATAAGCCCTCTCTGTGTGGTTTACAGAGCCAGGCTATTGCCCCCAACAATCTGGGTCTTCATTTTACCAATCACGGAAGGATGGAAGGATGAGTCAACTTTGAGCTAATCAGGATCGAACTGCTGGCGGTCAGTAGAATTAGCCTGCAATACTGCATTCTAACCACCGCTCCACCACGGCTCTTAATCGCTGTATCTTTCATCTGCTGTGAGATCAACACAGTGACTTCAATCAGGAATTCCAGCAAAGAACTTTGGAATAAAGATGGAAGTCACACCATGGATCCTACTAAGTAGGATAGTACAAGCACATTCTCAGCTTAATCTACTTATTTTAAAGTTTCTAAAACTATCTGCTAATTCATAGGGGACTTCAGGCAATAACAAACAGTATTGCAACAATGAAAATAAAACCAGCAACATAAAACGGAGAAGCATGGCTGTTTAACTAGTAATCAATACATATAATTTAACTGGCCAAAGATAAAAACACTTTTAACCTAGATTTATTGCTAGTCATACATTCTTCAAAAAGCCATCTGAGGATACGCCCACATTGCAATCACGGGTACAAATACAAAATATTATAGTATTTTAAATTACACAAATAAAGGGATGCAGAGCTTGGGTGAGAAATTTCTAAAATAATGACTAATGAAATAATACTCCCTGTAAAAAAGTAATTCGCATCAACACATTTTAAGACACCGTGAAGAGATATTATCCATTTATTATTATTTTATTTTATATAGAGGCCTAAGCCAGGGGTCTGCAACCTTGACAACTTTAAGACTTGTGGACTTCAACTCCCAGAATTCCTCAGCCAGCTATGCTGGCTGAGGAATTCTGGGAGCTGAAGTCCACAAGTCCTAAAGTTGTCAAGGTTGCAGACCCGTGGCCTAAGCTATAAAATAATTTACTTTTTCTAAAGCTTTGTCATAATAAGAGTTATGACAAATCAGCACAACCCAATTCTGGCCTCTTGGCTGGCCAGAAGATGGCAACTGAGAGCAAACTATATAGTAACTGTGTAGGTGCTGTATCCTTCCAATGTTTATTTTTTTAGATTTTTTTTAACATCTCACCTTTATTATTTTTATAAACAACTGAAGGCAGTGAACATGCCAAAACTTCTTCTTCTCCTGTGAGGTGGGGTTGGGCTGAGAAAGAATGTCTGGCCCAAAGTCACCCAGCTGGCTTTCATGGGCAGACTATAGCTCACAGTTTCCTGGCTTCTAGTACGGTACCTTCACCACTAGACCAAAATGGATCTCTACCAACCTCTAAAAGTTTTAATCTTGTAGAGTTTTATTTGGTAAGATACCTTTTTAAGAGAGATCAAGTAGACTTTTTTGTTCTATCCCAGTGATGGCGAACCTTTTAGAGACCGAGTGCCCAAACTGCAACCGAAAACCCACTTATTTATTGCCGGGTGCCAGGTGGGCGTGGCCCACTGGGTGGGCATGGCTGTGGTGATCATGGCAGATTGGGTGGGTGTGGCCAAGGTGGGCATGGTCACCTCAATGTTGCTCGTGGGGAGGGACGCCTGTGGGGGGTGGGCAGGGTTGGGGGAGATCCAGGGGGTCTCTGGTGGGTGGGTGGTAGGCAGGAGGCTCGTCCTGCGGTGTGAGGCATGGCAAGGTGGGGGTGCCATTGCCATGGGGCAAGGCAAGGGCCAGGGCGGCTGCTGCCTGGCACCATCGCCCCCCGCATACAGAGGCCAGCGAGCGCATGGGGGCCGATGGTGTCCGTCAGCAGCCACAGCCTGCCAGCCCTTCGACCGGCACACTCTGGAGCTCCGCAGCCGGCCGACAGCAGTTCAAAGAAGCCACCTCTGAGATGGATGGATGGCCGACAGCTGAGGAGGCGATGCAGTGGGTGGTGCCCAGGAAAAGGACAGCATGCAAAGCCAGGAGGGACGGGATGGGGGGGAAGGAAACCAACCGTGCTGGGATGCATCCGGCCACGTGGGACCTCGGCTAGTTAGCAGGCGGCTGGTTGAAGAGGGACAGTTGCCATCTCCGGGGCATAGCGCACGTGCCCACAGAGAGGGCTCTGAGTGCCGCCTCTGGCACGCGTGCCATAGGTTCGCCACCACTGTTCTATCCTGTCAGAAGATGAGGTTCATTCCTGATCAGACCTTTTTAAAAAGGTTTTTTTTTTAAAAAAAAAGGTATCTTTTTAAAAGGTCTGATCAGGAAAGAACCTCATCTTCTGACAGGATAGAAGAAAAAGTCTATTTGATTTCTCAAAACTGTAGTTTTCCAGCCTTATCTGTGACATTGATACACGGGGAATTGTTTTACAACTAATCAGGCTATAAATTACATATAGCAAGATATATAATGGCTCTATTTGAAAATGATATGTTATTGTGGATTAATTCTCAAAGGTATCCAAAGGAAACAAAAGAAAAGAGGTAGGAATACTAGCACACATCATTTGAGCTCGTTCCAACAAACCGAAGCTATGCTAATTTGTAATAAGATACATGATAAATAATTTGATTTGCATTTGCACATGATATTTAACTTATTTTAGTGGCAGATTTAATTAAAAGGACTAATTAGTTTGTGATTTTCTCCTAGACTAGTCTACACCTTAGCAGTGCTATAAAGTAGACTCTTCTTATATATCAAATACTGCAACCGTACACTCGAAATTGTTCATTTTCTGTGAAGATCCCACTGCATATTATTCTTCAAAATGTCAAAAAGTATAAATTAAATGCTGCAAGATAAAGTTACAACAATATCAGATTCCTCAGAAAACTTACCATATTATGGATATGTGGCTCAAGTTTAACTATTTAGATTGGGGTGGGGAACTATGGGGCCTTTATGACCTATGGACTTCAACTCCCAGAATTCAACTCACCATGCTGGCTCAGGAATTCTGGGAATTGAAGTCCACAAGTCATAAAGGGGCCACAGTTCCCCACCCTTGATTTAGATAATATTACATCAACACCAGTAACATAGAATCTTTCCACTGTTTCTTCTCCTTGTCTCTAATATAGCAGTAAAATTAATTGTAAGAAAAGCTGTACTTACTACTGTGCACAGTCAATCAACTGATATTCATTAGATCTTTCATAGCACGCTTTCACACCTTCATCTTGCCAAAGTGTTTTTGTATGTTCATAGAATTCCTGAAAGCAAAAGAAAAAAAAAGAATAAATCTATATCAACAACTAGAAAAGGAATACATAAAGTGCAATACACTTTAATATGAGCAACAACCCAAAAAATAGTAAATGGCAAAGTTTCAAGTATTTTCACATGGGTTTTTCTGCATTAACCAAATCCTGTATCCCTAGTGATTTAGCTGACATTTGATGTACAATAATAAATATTTATGAAATATGTTTAAAACACTCATTTTACTTAGGCAAAATTTCTGTATTCTAATTCAATATTAGAATTAAGTCACGTATTGCAATTATGCTGTATTTGTTTAATTTTAGCAATTTACTTTGTGCTTTCAAATAACGTTGCAAGATACAATGCAAAGTAAAACTTAAGAGTAATTGGACATAGAAGAGAAGCTTTATCTGTTTCTCTGTTATTCCATGTTCAATGGCCTGTGACATGAGATTGTTGGGATTTCGAGAATTTTCAAATGAATTTCAAAAATGTAGAAATACTCATTTCCCGTTTAGAAAGTATGTATACTAGAACCTTAAATAATGTTCACTGTAGCAACAACATTAGTCTTTTCCCCTATAATCATAGATTAATAAACTTATTTTCCTCATTTAGAGGAACCCGATTCATAAGGACAAGCAAGGCAAGCTGCTAACTCAGAACCAAATACATTTTTTTCAAATTATTGTCTATGTTTAATATCTTTTTTTAAAACATAAAAAAGTATTTTGCAAAGTATCAAACTAGTTAAGAAAGTTCCAAAGAGCATTTCTTAAACACAGTTCACTTGTGTTGACTTGTTTTGGAATCTATTTTAAATTACTGTAGTGAAGTACTGGAAATTCAGGTTCAAAACACACACACACACACACACACACACACACACACACACTTTAACAAAGCCCAGAGATCTCTGGCAAAAACTACAATAATAAAAATACAGCGAAATTATGTAAACTTTCTAACACCTTCAACCCAATATTCGTACAACAAAGAATCCAAGAAAACAAATGTTATCTGTGCCAAACCAGGCAATTCCCTTTTATGAGTACTTCCTATATTTTCATGATGCCTTAGTGCAGTGTTTTTCAAACATGGCAATTTTAAGATCTGTGAACGTCAACTCCCAGAATTCCCCAGCCAGCAGAAGTTGAAATCCACACATTTATAGTTGCCGAGTTTGAAAAACACTGCATCAAGGCATCATGATAATATAGGAAGTACTCCCATTCAGTGCAGGAACTTCCTTGACAGATAGCCATCCAAGCTATGTTTAAACATCTTCAATGAAGGAGAGTCTATTCCAGCTTCTTCAAACTTGGCCCTTTCATGACTTGTGGACTTCAACTCCCAGAATTCCTCAGCCAGGCATGCTGCCTGAGGAATTCTGGGAGTTGAAGTCCACAAGTCATAAAAGGGCAAAGTTTGAAGAACCCTGGTCTATTCCCTCCCAGGCATAGGATAACCTCTTAAACAGTTCTTATCACACAGGAGTTTTGTCCTGATGTCGAACGCAAATCTACTGTCTTATATTTTAAAACTATTTCATTCTGCCTTCTGATCAATTCTGCTCTATCTGTGACATGACTTCTCTTCAGGTACATGAAGACAGGGATCATGTTTATTTACTGTTTTCTCTTCTGCACACTGAACACACCAAATATTCCTCATAAGGTTTTCTTTTAAAGTTTTTATCTTCGTTTTTCTCCTCTGATTCTATTCTACTTTGTTAATATATTTTTGAAAATGAAGCGGCAAAACTAGATACAATGTTCTAGGTTAGTGATGGCGAACCTTTTAGAGACCGAGTGCCCAAACTGCAACCCAAAACCCACTTATGCATCGTCGAGTGCCGGGTGGGTGTGGCTGGATGTGGCCCATTGGGTGGGCATGGGTGCAGTGGTAACGGCAGACTGTGTGGGACTAAAAAGTTCAATCAATCAATTCCAACTTTGCCAGATCTTTTTCCCCCCCGTGAGAAGTTGAAATTGACAGATTGAACCTTTTTTTTTTTTTTTTGCACATGGCGGCGGAGACCTAAAGCGAANGAAAAGGTTTTATAAAATCCAGCTGAAGGCCTAGGACTGGGGCGACGGCACGCGTGCCCACAGAGAGGGCTCTGAGTGCCGCCTCTGGCACCCGTGCCATAGGTTCGCCACCATGATTTGATCAATGGAAAACAGAAAAAAACAATTGTTTCTTTTGATCTTGGAGCTGTATTTCTGCTGATGAAGCCTAGGACCAAGGCTTCATTATTGGTGAGGCTACATTAACACTATTGGTTGATGTTCAACAGCTGATCCAACAAAACACCCCAGGGTCTTTATGCACGTACTGCTCCATAGCATACCCACCCTATAATTATGCTATTGATTTTTTAAAAAATCAATTGCATTTATCTTTGCATTTATCTCGAGTGAATATTCATTTTGCCCATTGTCTGAGCTCACTTTTTATCATCCTTTCTACTATGATCTCATGGGAGATGGTGTTGAATGCTTTTCTGGAATCGGACTACACAATGTCCACTCTATTCCACAGTTAATTGAATTGGTCACTCTATCAGAAAAACATATCAGGATGATTTGGCAGGCCTTCTTTCTAATAAACTCGTGCTGGCCTCTGCCAAGCAATGCATTCTTTCCCAAATGCTTACAAATTGACTATTTTATAATCTGTTTTGCCTGGTACTGACACCAAGCCAATCAGGGTATAGCTGGCCAGGACCTTTTTGAAGATAAGAGATGTTTGCCCTTCTCTAATTCTATGGCAGTGCACTTGTCCTTCTGGGTTTCTCAACAATTACTGAAGTGGCTCCGAGATGACATCCACAATTTACTTAGATGTAACAGCAATCATTTCAAGTAATACACTTAGGTTACTATGACTGAAAGAGAGTGACTGGCTAAGGTCTCATGGTCTCCTGCTTTCTAGCCTGGTGCCTTAACCACTAGGCCAGGGGTAGGCAACCTTGGCTCTTCAACTCCCAGAATTCCTGAGCCAGCATGGCTCAGCATGGAAACCTCTCCCTTTTCCCTCAGCATGGCTGGCTCAGGAATTCTGGGAGTTGAAGTCCATGAGTCATAAAAGAGCCAAGGTTGCCTACCCCTGCACTAGGCCAAACTGGCTGTCACAATGAGAGAGCTAACAACCAACCCGCAGAATGCTAATGACACATGACGGCGAAGAATATAAACCCTTCCATTTTCCACCAGTCAGTTAGAACTGAAGAAGCTTCTTGGATGAGAAGCCAAAGGTTTTCAAAGAAAAAGTCAAGAAATTCCAGTTGCCTTTTGGAAAAGCACCTTTAGGACATTGTTGTCTCCGTATTCTCACCTTTTGCCTTTTGCACCTTTTGGTAACCTCAATTCATTCGGTGAAATTCTAGGTTATCCGTAAATTGATTACCTTTTCTCTTTCTACTTCTGATATCTATTCTTTCCGTTTTCAGATATTCACTAAGTTTCTGGTGCAGTCATATTGCCTTCTCCTGCTTTTCTTTTTTCTGTGAATTATAGAATTATGTCTAATACATTTTTAGTATCTTTTAAAAATACTCACCTATTTTGAGCTCCTTTTCCTGTTCGTATCTTGACAAAGAATTTTACGTAGCATTGTTCTGAATTAATTAATTTCTCAATATTGAACTATTCTTGATTTTAGTTTCCCTTAAAATCAAGAATTCCAGTATTTCATTGTCATTTTGTTGTTTCTTCCATTTATTAACCAAGACCCCCTACTAATTAATACTATCTGAAGGAGACAATTACCAACAGCAAAACTCAGGAAATTTCTGGATGAGTTGTGCTTAGCAGTTTATTTCCTACCAAATATTGGGATAATTAATATCCTGGTATCAGTGTCTCTTTGGAGTATCCATAAGTAATTTGCTTCTGGAAAAATATATATCTATCCTATTTCCTTGATTAAGTAGCAGTAGATTCAAACAAGGGGATTTAATCTATTTGATGTGCTATTGATGTGTAATGTGTTTTCATGTAATGTTTTCCCTTTTGTTACTCTATTCCAAGTCATTAAAGAACAATAACAAAACAAAAATGAAACTGTTCCAAGGCTTCACAGGAGGAATTTTTTCCCTTGATCACATTGTATTGGAATCAATTACTTAACTGACTAAAGCAGAAATCAGAAGTTTAAAAACAACAGCCAAAATACTTAATCAACGAGCATACTATTTTGCCTGATGTCTTTAATCTGACCTATAACCCAGCAACTGTTATGCTATCTTTTTAATGTGGTTATTAACTTTCCACGTGGGATGGAAAAAGAAACCAAGTCCACTCTTTGAACTTATTGACTGAGATTTCAAAACAAGGTCCTACAATCAATACTAACATTTACTGGATTATAGACAAGCGCCTAAGAAATGAACCACAAGAGTTAGCCTTCCATTCTGCAGTTTTTCACTCCAAATTAAAATCCAATGCAAATCAATTTAAAGATAATTTGGACGTTACTTACCCCGATTGATACTATGGTTTAACCTTAAGTGACAGATTAGATAAGGTGTATCTAATTTTCTTGGTGAGAATTAGCTTTTAATTCATCAAAGTACAAGGAGGCAACTGGACTTTCTTGTTTTTCTTTGAAGATGTTTTGCTTCTCATTCCTCCATTCCCCACCATCCAGTCAGAGCTGAAGAAGCTTCTTGGATGAGAAGCGAAACATCTTCAAAGAAAAACAACAAAGTCCAGTTGCCTCCTGAACAACCATGACCTGGATGACTGAGAATCTCCATAGATTGCTTGTAATGCTTGTATATGGCCACAAAACAGGAAATCCACCCCAAAGGAACAAGGAAAAAAATAATCAATTTGTATAAAATGTATGAATGTAGGCATATAGCATAATATGTAACAATATTTACTTTTAATTAAACAGAAATAAACCTGAATCTATGTGCCGGCTCAATTTGCTATCAAAGTATTAACTGCTAATAGACAACCACAAAACCTCCACCTCACTTTGAGCAGGCCTTGAAGAC